ATACCAATATTGAGAATTCCAAAAGGAGACTGGTTTTGCCCTCGTTGTGCTTCCAGTAAGGGGGGCACTGTCTGATAAACTTAAATTCGCTATGTGCAGGGACCATGACGTCCAGATCAGGAGCAGGCAGCGCAACAAATCAAGCGGAAGCAGGCCCGTCAGGATGGGGGCCACCCCCCAATCCTATTCGATCCTTTTAATGAACTTCAACCAATAGACAATACCCCCATACAACCAATATGTACAGGGGATGTATCATATAATTATAATAGGAAATTGGCCCCATTTGAATGGGAGTATGGATTTTGGCCCAACAAAAAGGCTCAACTCGAATAGCAAGTTGATCAGTGGCGCGCCCAAGCCGAAACTCTGGTGCACAGCAACTATCAGTGGTTCACATTGATAGAGCGAATGCACAGGGAATTAACCGAACTGGAACAAACCAACAACGTGGTTCGCACTCCAATTACAGTTCGGCAGTTTATGATTTTCAAATGGCCGCGTGCAGACTTAATGCAGACTCTCAGGGAATGTGCGGAGCACTATCCACAAAACGTTGTCATAACACGACGCACTGGCACGCCAGCAAGGAACACAATCCTTGAATCCATTGAGAAGCAAGTCAGTGCAGGAGAAAACGGCAACAGCGCGGAATGCACGCGCCAATTTGTAAACAAATACGGCAATATTTGGAAATGTTAGGATTACAATAACTTGATGATACTTTGCATTGCCTTTTCGCCCCCGCTCCGTGATCACAGGTCAGAGCTGATGCCATACTTGTATGGTGGCAACATGGGTACTGTAAAGTCATTGTCATGTAGGTAATAAAACAAAAGTAGGCAACAAATTACATTAATGGACTACATGTCACCACCGCCCAGAAAAACAAAACAAGCCTCGCCCTCGTCGAGACGACTCTGTGGCTTAGGGGGGAATAATGAGTGACTATGAATTCCATTCGACCAACACCATGCATCATATAATATAACATTCTTTTGATCCACATGTCGCGCTACAACCTTACCGAGCCCAATCGAATGCCGAGCCTATATCGCATGACAGCTGGCATGCCATATGCCCAGATCGCCTTGGCTAGCCAATCAGCGTGCAACACGTGGCGCTACGGTAGTGTAACCAGTTAGTTTAACGTAAGCTAGGTTAGCGGAACTTAACCATAACCGCGTAGAATCCGACTAGGATAGGATCTGGACGACCACGCGGTATTGGATGTCCAACGACCAATCAAATCAGTGGGCATCCAATGATAATGCGATTCAATCCGAGTACGTTCTGCAACGATCCCAGGGTACATAACCAGCTATGTTACCGGGTATGTTACCGACAGTAACCAGGTTACGTACTAGGAACGTAGCGTGCTCAATGCATGCGGACATCCAACGCTGCTAATGCTATTGGAGATCCAAACTCAATTGGCAATCCTACGAGTACTTAAGCCAATTGGGATCACCATTCCCAATTCGACTTTCATTCAAGTCATTATCAACCATCGTAATTGGACCCCGTGTCCAACCAGCATCCGAGCGCCTTGAGCGTTCAACCCAGCTTACGAGTGTGCTCGCGTACACTCACCCAGCCAGCAGTATCGGCGGACCAGGAAGACTACACATTGTACCAGAGTACCAGCAGCGATAGTAACACCATCGACCAGGAGAATCACACGGAGAACAACACCAACGGTAGTAGTACGAACACGACCATAACTTAACCGGCCTTATAGCCCTAAGCGTTACCCACTTGTTTCTCATCATCATGTCTCACGCCTCCGGCGACGCCATCATCCAATCAGGACGTGTCATGCACCTGTTTCTGTCGTTTGCTAGTGTTTGAGCTTATCCATTGAACATCCAACGGAATTCCTACGAGCCACTGCCATTTGGTTGAGAGCCTCAAGGTGAGCCGGTGCGGTTGTTACGAGGGTTGCCTTGAATGTTAGCACGCCACTTCCAATCTTAACTTGTTCAATTGCATTACAACTTCATCCTTGCTTTTCACAAGCTGGACATCCCAGCTACCCTACTAATAATGAGTGACTATGAATTCCATTCGACCAACACCATGCATCATATAATATAACATTCTTTTGATCCACATGTCGCGCTACAACCTTACCGAGCCCAATCGAATGCCGAGCCTATATCGCATGACATGATGCCATGATGGCACGCAGCTGTAAAACGCAATCATTCGCAGGGCCTCCTGAAACTAAGCCCGAGATTTGATTCGCCATTGAAAAAGGATTTGAGAAGCCTTTCTTGGTTCTCGACATGGTGAACTCATATTGGCAGTGGCACATGGGCCATAACTTGGCAAGCACAATTAACTACGAGTTTTGCATAGATTGCCGCAAGACATGATGTAGTAAGGCCGGGCGCGTCAGTTTTGATCGATGACTGAGATGTCGGATGCACTGCAATTGAATGATCGGTCTCCTTTTGCCTAGCTTGACCGCTGTCATCATATGGTACGTCTCAGTGCTCCAGCATGCATTAATTGGCTGATCGATGTCATGCTGATCGGATTCTTCCCACCGTCTTAAAATTGGATTCTAGACTAGCTTGACCGAGAGCTAGCCTGCAGGCTGGCACGCCCGACTCCGAGGCTCCGGCCGAGCTGCTTCGATATTCGAGACAAGTGGGACCCAGATAAGCCTGCCTAGCTAGCTGGCACATATAACGTTGTACAGTACGTAGTGAAACTTCTCATACATGGCACAAGGATGAGTCATTTGAGACATAATCGGGAAATTACTGATTCGATCGATTTGCTTCAGATGATAGTGATTGGCATCCAGCTATGATCGAACCCAAAAGACGAACTGCGGGCTAATCATTCCCTTATAGGATCTCCTACTATTACAATATTCCGTGTCCGCATTCTTTTCAATCTTCTTAGTACAACACTGCCCGCCCGGGTTAGGTTCAATTTCGTCTATTGGAGAGCTAACAATGTTCTTCGAAAGAAAGTAGCTGCTACCCGGCCGTCCTTGCGCTAAGACGCTGTCCGATCCGTGCGCGCACCTCGTCAATTCGAACAGGCTCCTAACATTGACTAACAACAGAGAAATTGGAGGAACACCCAGTATGGGTGACTGCTTCCCTGCGCTGACCCATCCCTAGCTCCTGAATGCGGAGTTCCATAACCTTCAAGACTATCCAGCAAACCTGCACCAACTTAACAAACCCTTATCCAAAAGCTTTCATATTTTGACGAAGTGCGTACACTCGGGTTAATCCAGTCACATGGCACCTTGACAGTCAAACGCGCGCCAAAAACTTCCCTATGTCTGATCGGACCCATGTGTTTACCCAGGCGAAAATGAGGGCAGTCCTGAGTTGGTCAGTTACACTCCGTGTCGGCCAGGCGTCTATCCCCTTTGGTTCCGGAAGTACCACGCCGGCAGCACCCGCTCCATCCCCTGCCAGAGGTCCTCCGTACCGTCCCACGGGGGCGACGCCTCCTGCGCTTGCCCCGCCCACCTTGCAAGCCCCCCCCCGAGGGGCTGCCCAGGCACCCCCGCTGAGGTAGCTGGAACGGCGATTCCCGGGGCCGGCAGAGCTCTGACCCCGACACCCCGGCTTGGAACAAGGCCTCCCGCCGACCCCAGGCCCGGCCCGTGCCGCAGCACCCCGGAGAGGGCCTCGTCCAGCGTGACGTCGCCCTTTGGCTCCAGAAGAGATGGAAATAGGGCGGGAGGGGAGGCGGGAGAAGGGGAGGGGTCGTTGCGCGGGGGAAGGCCGAACGTGAGGGGTAAGGAGCCAGGGTGAAAGTGAGCTGCGACGTGAGAGTCGGTGCTCGCAGAAGGCACGGGCAAGGGCGAGCGGAACGAGGGCGGCGCTGAGCCGTAGCTGCCGCTGGGGTCCAGCAGCGACACCGCCCGCATGGACTTGTGCTTCACATCCGGGGGGCAGTAGACTCGCCCCGTCCACTCGTTGGCGTCGCGCCCAGGGGTCCGCCCTGGCTGGCTGTGGCGCGCAGGAGCAGGGAACGTGGCAGGCTCGTGTTTCGCTGCGAGCCCAGCCCCCGACTTGCATTGCGCATGCGTCGCCCTGAGTTCTTCCACCTGCAAAGAAGCCAACGAAACATATGAAACCCTCTGAGAGGACCTACGAGAAGGAGCGCAAGCGTCCGTATCCCTTACGAGATGTTTCCCTCCAGATGAAGCTCGCATCCATTTACGTGTTCGGAGTTACGCCCCCAGTGCATCATGGCTTCTCCTTGAAAACCGAAAATTTTCGAGTTACACAACCGCTTGACGAAGCTTGGATCGCTTTTGCAATGAGCTGGATGCAGGCCTTTTCTGCAAACCCGTTTTGCAGATGCGCACTGCTGGACTCGCCATATTGGGCACCATATTAAACTTCCAACATGACGCGCGCACGGGTGGCTAGCTCGATAGCGATTCCAAGAACCTCAGTCATAGAGCCAGAAATGATGTAAACCAAATGCCCCCTTTCCTTGGACAACTCGAGCTCCGACTTCCACACTATGGTTGATAACAGTCTCACAACGTTCACTTTTCCTGCGACCTCCTCCCTCTTATGACACGGTTAATGTGGGGCAATTTTCTCAGCGTGCTTCCAACCAAGTCAGCTGTCCGTCTCGGAAGGAGTGCCCACCTCCATACGCAGGCGCAGGTTGTCATTGGATGTCTCCATGAGGCACTCCCGGAGCGCCTCAAAGTCCCGATGCAGCTGACGGTTGCGCTCCCGTGCCCGCCTGTTCTGGAACCACGTAGCGATCTGCTGCTGAGCCACGCCAAACTCTCGCGCGAGTGCGGCTCGGTGTTCTGGCCAAGAGAGCGGCAGCACCGATCAGCAGTGACATTTTGCAGGAGAAAGAGGAGCCTCTGTCACCAAACCTGGACCCTCATTTGATGGATCAATCTGAAGCGAATCCGAGAACACGACACGATAATACGGCAGCCAAAGTAGCCATCAGGGCAAAGCAGCACAGAGCGCAGTCTGTAAGGATTGTGCCACAATAAACCAATGTTGCATCAATCAAGGGCATCCTGTTTGCTCATGACAAGAGCCGATGGATACTACTTTCGTTTTGGCAGGACCTACCTGAACCGTGTAGCATTTACAATTAACCTAGATTTAGAGACAAGACAAGCAGGAAGACTCCTCTAATCCAGCCGTTAAAGAGCAGTTAAGCTCTAGACTCTCAACATGCCAAACACAAGCATCTGCCGAGCTTCACTTCTTTGCACAGATCTCTGACTTGCCTGGCACGCCTGCCGGGTCCATTTGAAAAACCTCTTCCAGGACCTCCACCTGGCGGTGGCTCAGCTTCTTCCGGGCACTTTCCCCCTTAGTGGAGTTGTCCCCACTGCCGCTCGAAGTCTTCTGTGCTGAGTCATGCTGGCTCTCGCGCTTTGGCGGGGAGGGTACGGAGCCCGAGGAGGGGACCTTGGGCCCCGGGGACTGCGGGCGCTCCCCCTCCGCGGCTTCCGCCTCAAGGTGCACAGTGGTGCGCCCAGATCCTGTGGAAAAGGCAGCTAAGCAATCAGCGACATCGAATCCAACCCTAAATTGTTCAGAGATTATGAGGATGCAGCAACAGGGTGGTCGCTACATACCTTGGTTCAAAAATGCACGAGCGGAGTCTTGATAGGAATCTATAGCCGAGCAAGCGCTTTGCCAGCTGGACATAAGTGCACGGCTGACGGGTGTGGGCTTGTTTAGAGCAAGTGAAAGACAAGGGGCCGATGCGACAACTTTACGCCCAGTGTCATACGTTTGCACCAGTTTCTGAGTTGGTAACATGATTGGGCAACTCTGTCCATTGGGCACACTTCTGTCCTGTCCTCGTCACAATGAGGCAGGAGTGGCGCAGGGTCAAGCACAATTCACATTCACGGCGCCCCATTCTAGGGTCCGTGTGCTCTGTGTGCATGTCTGGAGGCAAACCAGCAGAACTTCTGTGCTCACTGCACAGGGTTCTTGTGTCGTGCCAAAGCAGCACTCAGCTTGAGGGGCCTCCTTGGTCGCATTCGCTCAATACCAATGCAGTCATGCCCTGCACCGTACCGACAAGAGGATGAGGCAAAGCAAGCTAGAAAATATATTGAGCATGAAAAGCTGTAGCTCACCAGCATGCCTGTCAGCTCCAGGGATGAAATGCAGCTCTCGCTCATCTTCTGCAGCAACAATGACGTCGCGAGGAGACCGGCCGGGTACCCCAGCGGTCAGGGCGCCAAACTTGCCCTGGGGGACACCTGTGTGTGGTCCATCGCAGTTCCTCATGCCCGACAGCTCATGCTGATGCTCTGGCTCAAAGATTCAATGCACCGGCCCAGGCACGGAGATCTGCTCCCGCAAAGGTGGCAGGACTCAGCAAGCCGCTGTTCGCTGGTCCATTGCACGCGGAAATGCACGTCTGCTAGCTTGCGGTGTCTCCTTGCTGACGAGAAGGACGTGCCGAGGAGAGTGTGGTTGAATGCACAGTATTCAAAACTGCCTCTAAGCTGATTTACCTGATGCAGATTGAAGCAGCAAATCAATGCAGCAGAGTCTGTTGTTACATGCTTGCTTGCTGGTTTTCTCCCACTATGCAGACTATGAGAGCCAAATACAACTTGTATTGGATAGACAGCTTTAAACAGCGAATAGGCCCTTTGCCGAAGAGGCCTTTTGCCTTCAGCTGGAAAGCTTTGGCTTCTTTATGTGAAGTTTGGCTCCTTCCAGCAGACCAGGCCCGATGTTCAGCACCAGTTGGCGAGCTGCAGGACAGCTGGCAGAACCATTCCACAGGCTGGAGTCTGCCTACTACTGCGCTGCTAATCTCGTCTTTGGAAGCGGATCGAGAAGTTGCTCAATACCGTACCCTTTGAGAGAAGGCACCCCGTAGGGCCGTACATGTCACTTGACAGGCTAGCTCTCCTGTATGGTGACTTCGCCATTGAAGTTGACCACATGCCAACATTGCGACTCGGCCTCGACGAGACCCCTATGTTTAGTTACCCGGATCAGTTCCCTCGGCTTAGACTAACGGGAATTTACACCTAGAGTTAGCACACTCCTTTTACCCTTGCCCACACTAAACCCCAAACGAACTCTATTCGTCTCCCGGGCATGACCTGGGTCAAGACGGTACGGTAGCCGTATTAAACCCTTCGAATTGAAGACAGCGGAATAGGTAGGTACATCTGTGAAAGCACAGGTATCGAGATTGCCGTTGCGAGCTTACATTTACTTTTCAACTCCGAAAAACACGGGTTCGGACCCCGGTTGACGTTACTCATTGTGATGTCAACAAATCTACGCGCGGTGCGTCACAAGTATCGGCCTCCAAAACGAACCGCTCATATGGGCGCATGTCAGACCATCGAGGGCTTAGATGGTCCCGACAGATTCGAAAATCGTGCGATTGGATGGTCGTGACTCGCACCGTATCGTCGGTGTGAATCTGAGGTCAGCGACTCGAGCTTTTCGGATTTCCACTCTGTCGCATGATGATGCACGAAATCGAGGTCGGATACATCATGCATCCGATCCGATCTTCCTGATTTCAACGGCCACCTCAGACCTGCCTTACGTGGCTGCTTGAGAAGCCTGTTGCATCTGCTAGACAATCTGATAGATCATGCATGAATCCGGAACACCCTATCATTGATCAATTGACAATCAGACACCTAGCAGGCCTTGCTCTCAGATCTAGCGTTTTGCAGCGCCCCGCAATATACACTGAGCAGGCTCGCCGCCAATTGCAACCCTCGAAGAAACCCACAGGCTGAAGCCAGTCTCAATCACCTCTGCAACGTTACTGCCTTGTTACTTGCGGTTGCGGACCTAATTAGCTAATTTTAAAGTGTTGATCACCTTGTACAAAACCGGCCCAGATCGAGCAGCCGTCTCAATATCTTTCTCGAGAGCACTGACTATAAGTTAACAGTTTAAGCAGCTAGGCCGAATCGTAATCAGGAGATCATACTTTGCAGATTGCCATACCAGATTCCAATCCATAAATCTGCCAGCCGGGGGCATTGCTCCGGCCGCCGCAGGCATATGGGTTGCCGACGTCCTCAGGCTGCCCGCCTCTTATAAAAGCTTTAGAGGTCGTGTCTAAGACATGACAGATGCAAGCTAGCTTTAGGTAGCTAGCAATGTCTCAAGGGCCGCTGCTAATTGTTTGACGATACACTCAATGAAATCTGCATAACTAGTTGGTAAGAAGTGACGAAGCCCGTAAGAAGCTGCATACGGGAGTAGATTTCATGAAGCGTGCCACGGGCACAGTAGCGATATGATCATGTCCAGGGGCCATGCATATGCGGTCGAAGTTGACGAAGCACTCAGGCTGAGCTTCGTAGAGGCAACTGAAACAATCTGATCACTCAGACGGACGTCAGCAATAGCTCGCGTCACAACCCGCCCTCCTCTTAGGGGAATCTGTATCCCAACTCTGCTGAGTGACCTGGGCTTGCCGTTTATCGTACATAAAAGGCAGGATAGGAACCCGATAGGAATAGATGTCAGCTTCCACGTTGGCTCAGAAGATCAGCAGTCACGTGATTGGAATCGCTCTTTCTGGAAGCCGCCGCCTGCTTACATAGAGCATATATTTGCCTTTATTGTTGACGGGCCACTCTCGTAGACTGACCTGAAAGTTTCAGAATGGGGCAACGGTATTGAGGCGATAGAGACATCGATTGATCTCGCTCCGCTGCTTAATACTCGGAAACAGTCACGGCAACTGATTAGTGATCTTCACAACTTGGACATCCTCTTGACAACGATCATCCGCAGCCCACCAGCTGAGAGCCGACGTCCACTTGATAAGCTGCCTTTTGAACAGCTGTTTCATATCTCGGAATCAACCGAGCGCGTCACATCAATCACAGTCGATTCCCTGTAAGGGCTTGCTTTTGGATTCGAACCAACTTCCAGCACGAAAAGTCGAGGTGACATGTTAGCTGGTGCGCTGGCACAGTTGTGTGCAATCGTGGATCAGCAGCTCGATCTGAGACATACTAGACTCCGAACCATCATTAAGCCGCGGCCAAGCTCGCAGCTGCAATTGAGCCAAGCATTCCATGTATGTGTGCAACCTTACCCTTCAGCTCAGGATGCGTTCGATACGATCATGTGGGTGCCACCCCTCGGTCCATAGATTCTAACTATAGTGCTAATCACGCGCAGTATCAAGTGATCCCCGCGCACAAGATGCCCGCCACACCAAGTCCCGATTGCAAGGCAGAGGTGCGAGACCACCGTAACCTTTGTTACAGTGGTGCCACCGAAGCAAATGCAAATGCATCAATCCCAGATGCTGTATCGCCCTCTCATGTTTTGTCGAACCCGTATCTCGAAGGCACCGGCATCAATACATGCTTTCTTGATCTCCGACATGTGCATCCGGCCCCCATGCCATCAAAAGATTGTTCAGTGACGGACATCGAAAATGAAGCTGTGTAATACCTGCTAGCTGGTGGCCGAGCTAGACGTGAGCAGTGTGCCGGACGCCTGGGTTCATTTCAGAAATTCAAGAACGTGTCGGACTCTGACTGCTACGTTCTTCACAAATGCACTCATCGTGCATCCCAAGTTGCCGAATGTACACAACGCGCAGGTCCTCAACGTCCTCTGCTTCACACGCTGCAATCTCATTCTGGGCTGCATCGTCGACTGCGAGTTTTATACGTGGAAATTGGAGCGATATTGGAGTCGTCCGGAGTCGCACGTTAGCGCTGTTACAGCTTGTATCACGATAGGCGAGCAACGCACGCGCACCGTTGCACCGTTGAAACTATCATTGACCACGACCCTACCTCACCTGCAAGTACTCCCGGTTTTGTACTGGGCGGTATAACTGCCCAAGAAACAGCTGCGCAAGCGCGAGAAGAGCTGAGCAAAAGCGAAGCCCAAACATTATCTCTGACAACCAGAGGGCTGGCCGTATGCCCCAAGAAAACCTTCCCGGGCCGGCGCCGAGCCCCCTTTCTCTGCGTCGGGGATGTGATTGACCGACCGGGGCATGAGCCGAGCGAGAGTCGGAGACGAGGAACTGGCCCGCCGTGCTGCTGCTTCCCGGCGTCGCTTGTCCCGGAGTCCGACCAAGCGTTCCGCCTTGCACAGCTTTGAATTTATGGAACACGCTTGGAAAGGTCATTTCACTCTCGGCAGAATCTTCGATGTTTACTTTCTATAAGTCATGAGGGGTGGCTGATCTGAGTGGCGAAGTCTAGAATCTGCTGGTGTCAAATGAGCCTTTGGGCACTTTCAGCACAGATTTTCAAAGAGGAACACGTCGTCGCAGCACCCCACGTTTCGAGTGCTCTCGAGCGAATTTATGATGTTCGGTTGACTTCTCAAAGTTGCATGGGAAGAACCCCCCCGGCTACAGCGTAAGCTGCATTGTTGGTCGGACAGATGTCCGCAACTGAGAGAGATTGAAAGAGAGGAGCCGTTTGACTACGCTTTGAGAACGGTAGTCTACAACTAATCAGGGTCCGGTAGCCGGTGAGCCTCAACACCCGCTGCGATTAGTGACCCAGAGGAAGGACCCCTTGAACAGAGTTACCTGCCGCTCACAGCAATCTAATCGACGAGGCCCGAGTCCCAGAATGTGGCTTTCTCAGACATTTGAATTGGAGTCCGCACCTGCCATGCATCCGCTCCGTTCAACGCCGCTCTCGTCACATCGGCACGCGGCCACCGCCGCGTTCCTTTGCAGTTTCTTGACATTTTCCTCCTGCCTTGAATATTGTTCCTTTCAGAGCTAGCCGTTCCGTGCTCAGCGCGCGCAACGCCGCCTCAACCTCGTTGTCTTGCGCGCTTTGGCGCGCTCTCAGTGTCTGCACCCTGGCGCTAATTTCTGGCACTCCTTGCACCACGTCACCCCGCGCGTTCTTCCTGGGCCCCCGAGCAGTTTCAAGCGGTTCCAATTCAAGCGTCGCGCGCCCTTTCGTCGCGGCCGCCTGCTCGGTTCCAACTCGAGCATCTGCGCAAGGTGCGCTTCCTGCGCTATGCCTGCGCGCTTTCCAGGGCCGCGAGCTCCACCGAACCACCGGCAGCTCCTGACGACGGACGTCCATTCCACATCACGGATCGCCCAGCAATCGGAGAGGTGAAAAGCGAACGGGTCGGTGCGCATTGTCAAGGGCGACGTCGAAGTTTCAGTTGATTGCCCAGCGCATGACGTATGCACAGATGCTCTCTAGTGGTGGACTAATATTATCAGGACAGTAGCGGCGAGCCTTACCAGGATAGTGTTCATCGATCGGTAGCTCGGCAAGCTGACATGACTTCCGTGAGTACTGTTTCATACGGCGTCTACCAGCATTCCATGGCAACTCCTTTATATGTCACTTGCACACGGCTTTCGACGTTCTTTGCGGTTCGCTGTCCAGTATCTTCAGATTCCGATGACATGTGAAGGTGGAGTTTGGATGAACATCGTTACAGATATCATGACATCACATACGCGTGTAAGGCGGCTCTAGTTGTCATCTGCATGTTTCTGCAACTGCTGATCAGAGTACCCTTCCCTGGGTATCCTAAAGCCAAGCCCCTCCATGATGAAGTGCTTTGTAACCATATTCGCGCTTCTACCCAGTAGACATGGTCGAGCAATAATTCCATAAAATAGCGGTTGATTATCATAGGGTGCACGGTGTGAGGCAGAAGTTTTGCACTGACTGTGAGCAGGAGATTCTGCCCCAGGCGAGAAGACCCTCCGGTTCCGGCCCCCAACAATCGAGTTCCAAATCTACACCGACTGGAAAACATGACTTGGTACGAGTTCGAGCGAACGTAATCATACACCAATCTATACTTGTTTGTTACAGCGCATCTGGTTACAAAACGGGCCTTTTGAATGGAGTGGCGTTTACGATCGAAGACCCTTCCAAAATTGCTTCATCCTGTTCGTGCGCACAGCTGTTAGTGCGTGCCCATCTCAACCCGCGTGCATTAATCCAACATCAGTCGAGCCACGTGCCCGCTTGCGTCTACACCTAAGGGCTGGAACTCAATGTAAGGCATCGGAGGTCAGGCTAGCCAGCTTCCCAAGGAATCAGCGTGGTGGTGTTCTCGGCTTATAGCTGTCTGCAAAATCCTACCCTTAAGGCCATGAGCGTAGCTACACGCCCTGACTTTCCGACTAGACTTGATCGTCGATTGGAAGCCGCGAGCCCGTCCAGCATTCATACAACTGTAAGCTGTCGGTGCACGTCATCCCTACTGCATCAGAGTGAATGTCATCTAGTTTCATACCTCCAAGCAGTGGCGTGCGATCACTCGCGCCTCAGATGCAGAGGGCGCGCGCGCTCCTGCTGGCAGCCCCGCGCGCGCTCAGTCTTCCCACCAGGGAGGCACCTCCGGGTCCAAGTTCCCTGGAAGGTCTTCGCTCGCGTCCGCATATGGCCCCGGCGCCCCGCCGATCTCTGGGGGAATGCGGGCGGCGTCGCTGCCCGGCTCCAGGGGCGGCAAGGCACCCAGATCAAACGGACTAAGAGGGCGGATTGTCAGCCCCACTCCGCCAGGAAGAGGCCGGAAGGGATCCCCCAGATAACCCTGAGGCGCAGCAGAGATGCCGCTGGTGCCCTGATCCCCTCTGAGCAAATCACGGAAGGCCTCGTCGAGCGTGAGCGGCCACGTGGGTGTCGTCGTAGTGGGCAAAGGCGCGGAGGCGAGCATGGGGGGTGCGCGCGCCGGAGCTAGCTGCCCGAACGGCAACCCCCCAAAACGGTCGTTGCTTAAACTGTCCGGGTTCCGCTCGCCGACCGGAGTCTGGGAGCGGAAAGAGGGACCCGAGAACGCGGTCGCCTCGGGGGGGGAGCCGACGCGCGCGCGCTTTGGCAGGGCGGATTCGGAGACGGAGCGCGGGGGCCGCTTAAGAGGCGGGCTCGCGGTCGGGGGAAAGAGAAGGTGGGGGGACGATCCGAAGGCCGGGGCTTGCCACGTCATCTGGCCAGAGCGCGACGGAAACGACATTTGAAACGCGTCCGCATCGGGCTTGGCGGACCCGCGCGGCGGGCAGAGCGCGTGCTCCGCGCGAAGCTCCTCGAGCTGTTCGACAGAGACGGGTGACGTCAGCAAACGGTCGCAGCCAGGCACGATGCACTCGATGTACGGTGATCTAACAACCTTGCGGCTTGCGAAGCAAACACAAGACGGATGTAACGAGGAGATCGAACTATGGCTGAAGGGCCCCGCAACACTTGGAATCAGGAACCCTGCCTCGAAGAAGAAGAGTAGCCTTGTTGAATGCGCGAAGCATTAGGAACCTCAACATTGTTGTCGGCGGCTCTCACTGAAGCAGAAAGTCCTGCTAACAGGATTTGGAAGTTACCCAGAACGCTGCCTCGAAGTAAGAACGTTGCCGTAAAGCCTGACACAAATGCTTGCTGGATTGTTTCGGAAAGGTCCCCTTGAGCTGAGATTTGTGACTTTGATCACGTCAGCTCCTGTCTCAGCAGTAGGTGTAGAAAGTGAAGCCCGGTCACTCACTTGTCTCCGCAGCATCAGGTTTTCCTCGAAAGCGGCTCTGAGGCACCTTCGTACAGTCTCGAAGTCTTGTTGCAGTTCCATGTTCCTTTCTGTAATGCAGAGAGATGCACGATGATCAGCCACTTGGAAAAAGCAGTGCGAAGCTGTACAATAGTGAAGCACTGTACGGTCTGAAGAAGCGAATCATTCGGCAATCTGCTTGGAAGTGCCACGTCATCGGTTCTCATCTCACCTCTTGCCCGCCTGTTCTGGAACCAGTTGGCAATCTGCTGTTGCGGCAAGCCGAACTGCTGGGAGAGGGCGGCTCTCCGGGCTGCACAAAAACAAAGACCTTGTCACGATGCAGATAACGCGAGCCCAGCCCGTAAAGCTGGATCATAAAGAGAAGCATTCGCAACTTACTATAAGCAGTCACGGAAGCTGCCCTGGTCTGTTGTCAGGACCAACTCTCGGCTGCGTAAGACACTACAGCGCACCTGGGATGACATTCGCAGGCGTCGGCCCTGCTTGACAGGGATGGCGACTTTTATCTTCCTGCCTATCGAAACATCAACTGGCGCGTCGAGCAGGCACGAACTCAGCTATGGTCGCCTGGTAAACGCCCCTCGCCTCAGCATCCTTTTCTGCCAGCCGGACCAGCTCAAGCCGCGAGCGGCCCTCACCTGCCGGGCCCGAGGGGTCGGCTTGGAAGAGCGCCTCCAGCTCTTGCGCCTGCTTCTGGGTCAGCTTCTGCCGCCTGCCCCCTCCCTTCTCCGGACTCTCCTCCGCATCGTCGTCGCTCGTCCTCGAGCCGGGCTCCCCTGGAGGCCTCGCTCCGGTAGCAGCAAGCTGCTGAGACGGCCCCACATCATCAGCCGCCGGAAAGCTGAACTCCCGTGAATCGGAGCCCGGGAGCTCCGGGGAGGTGTCTGGGCCTTGGCTGCCTGCACAAAGGGAGGTGCGGGCACTGAGTGAGGCGTTTCGTTGTGAAGAGTCGGTGCATTCGGGCTTAGAAGATGATCGCCGTATGTGGCAGCGTTGTGGAGTACCACGGGTTCCTCCGAATTAACAAACGTAAGCTCAACGTTACGGCGCTGAGCACCTCGACAAAGTGCCACTTTGCGATTGTCTTGTTCGATGGTGGTGCAGCACGTGTTTAGGCTGTTACATGCTGGATTGTTGGCTCAGCAAGGAAGTGACAATGCGTGCTTACCATTTACCACTTTCTAGAACCCAGTATATTTGTCTTTATGGTGTGTAGCAGCGACGCAGACTAGATGGTGGCCTAGATGGTGCCACGTTGGAGGATAACCTCAACTGCATTTCTGCCCCGCTATCAAACTCTAGCTTTGCCAAGATTGCCATGTTAATTGCAGCCACATCAGTCAACGGGCAGCTCCACATTGCAGCATCAGGAAGCAGTTTACCCTCCGAGCTGGAATCGATCTGAAGCAGCCCACATTTGGTCTAAACCAGCCCACATTCACTTTAAACCAGCCCACATTTGATCTAAACCAGCCCCCATTTGGTCTAAACCCGCCCACATTCAATTTAAACCAGCCCTTTTGATCTAAACCAGCCCCCATTTGCACTGTGGGCCACAATCTCAACCCTGCAGAGAGAGCGATGCTAAGGTGGCGCCGCCGACTCTTTGGTGGCTTACCTGAGCCGCGCTCTGCGAAGTCTGGCCTGGTTCCCACTGAGGCCAGCTGCTGGTTGCTACCTGTCCCGCTGGGAGTGGAAGCACTCCTCATGGCACTTGATCACGCACTGACCCGCACACGCGGCATTGGCTCCGCCGTTTCCAGCTGGTAACAGGCGGCTCAGCTGCTCTTTTGCTCGATCAGCGGCGCAAATTAAAAAGGCGCCAATGCAGGTTCAGACTGGGCGACAGGTCTCCATGTGATGCCTGTTGGACGGTCCACTAGCTATAGGCTGCAGAAAGTCCGACACGGATGTGTTTTCCCACTGGCAACCGCGTGATTCCTACTTGCATGAAGTGCACTACTGTTAAAACCTGAGCTACCAAACACACAGTGCCAAAGCCTGATCTGCTTGTCCAAGTTCTGGTGTCAACCATGCTGCCAAACTACATGCGGCGCTGCTACTTCCAATCGTCTCTGCACGCGCCATGCTGGTCCGCACTGCTTTACATCAGCGCGCTTTTGCCATGCCAACATGCGCTATCTCAACTCTTTGTTGCCACCTGTCAACCCTAGGATGCGGATGTGGCTCATACTGCAGCTGGACTATCCATCCCGCAGTCAATGATGATCTGCCATGTGGATGGCGCTCATGCGCCATCTTCCACAGATGAAACCGAGCTAAGCTCACTATGTAATGTATCTGCTGCACCTGTACACATGACGCGCACGGAAGGCCCACAGCTCGCGAGCTGAGTCCTGCGTTGCGTTCTCTGTGCTGACTCCTGAGAAGTATGGCTGCAGCTACTAGGGGCCTACGATGTAACTCGCGCCAGCTCGTTGGGCCGGTAGGCACCAGAAGTACTGAGAGTCCATAACTAAAAGACAATCTAGTGCTACAAGCGCAGAAGCTGTCAGAGTGGCAGCCCGAGAAGATAGGGTCCGAGATCGTTGCGACGCGGTGTTATGCATATTGCATGCACATTGCAGAGTACAAAGCTCGATTGAAGCCACCGCGAGCTGGAGACTTACAGGAGTATCCTGACTAATTGACTAATGTGTCTGACAGTGTACAGCTTTGGGTATCCTGACTGACTGCATGCCTAGGTTGTAAAAGGGCAACGCAAAATGTGACTACCGGTATTAAAACCGATGCATGGCTAGAGTCCGGAGTCCGGACTCTCCAGGCTGGTATGTTCACACGAGGGATCACATCATGCATCAGCCACACGCTGGGCTCAAGTCATATCACTCGGCCGCACTTATTACGATGATTGGATTGAATCCGGCAGAGGCGACGCTACATACAGCAAAGTTCAAATTCTGCGAAAGCTGGGCCGGAGCAAGCATTGGGTTGAGAGCACAAAATGCAAATCGCTGTGAAAGCATAGGTTTATCACAAAGACCAGGTTTGACCAGCGAGCGGCCGGCGCCGTTAGAATTTGGCAACTGGCATGTCTCGTGATCTCCCGAGTCCTGACTCCTGACGCAGCCGGCCAGCCGCCATACCGTACTGCGGCCAGCCGCCATAGGTTGGCCGAGCGAATGATTGGGACCAGTACTAGGTACGAGTCGGCCTCCTATCTGGCGAGAGTTTCGATACTCGACAGGGGGCTAGCGGCCGCTAGCCGCTAGCTACCGGTACCCGTACGCGTGATGGCCGCCAAAAACCGATTGTTCTCTAGAATAGGTTTGGTAAGCCCAAGCTTTAGTACTGGGACGGTTAGGGTTAGTATGGTGGTTAGGGTGGGTGCGGGTGTGGAGCGGTAAATTAATATTTGGGTTTAGGTTTTCTAATGTTAGCTCGTTCTTGCTTTGAACTTTGAGATAATACCTAAACCTATTCTAGAGAAGTATCCATAACCGGATACTGGCGACATATGTGTTCACTTAAGCTTGTGTTCACTTAGGTACACGCCCGGGGCAAAACCCAAATTAAAAACCTAAACCAACAAGATCACCCGCTCCGCACCCGTACCCACCCTAACCCCCAAACCAACCCTACCCGTCCCCGGGACCTGTTCTTAAGTGAACACCGCCCTAAGTGAACACAAATGTCGCCAGTTTCATAACCGGCACTGGGCACACGGCGGCCGGTAAGCCGCCGGTTACTAGCTTTCCCGGCGTACGGTCACCGGTGGACCGTGGTTCCTACCACGTGGTCGTCGGTCGATCTTACGTACCTAGAATTTGTACGGATGATCGACTCTGAAGTTTGAACTCGGTCGTACTACGGTAGGTTAAATTCTTGTACTAAGTACCGGTAGTACTACTGGGTCGGGACTCGGGTGATAAATTGTTAGAGCTGGCATCAGCCCGGGGACCGGTGACCGGTCCCCCTCAAGCGACCGTTTACCGAAGGCTCTGCTCTGGCGGTTGGCCGAATACCGTACCGTACGTAGCAAGTGGAGACCGTCTCGGGAGTCGGTCGTCTGGTAGCCTACCTACCGGTATTCGACTACCGAGTGTTGCTAGTTTAACGGTTTAGCTACGTTAGTCGCCAGACTGGGGCCGGGCCTGAGAGCCGGCGTCGTGCAGTGACGCCGACCTGGCAGACAAGCCCGTATGCCCATTGCCCGTACGCTCATTTCTTGGCGACCGGCGGGCAGAGTGTGATGCGAAGGGGGCCGCCGCGGAACTCCGTGGCAAGACGCTCTCTGCTAATAACCATAAAGTTTAATTCCTATAAGGTACTGTTCCCTATAAGGAAACTCTTCATCCGTAGAGGAATGTTGTACATATGAGGCCCCGGGCAACACTCTAAACCTGGGGTAATGTGACCGACAGACCCTAATGTCACTGGGAAGTGCCCGGTTGTGATCCGGCTGCTTGCGAGACCCTAATGTCAGAGGGAGGGCCTGCTTGTCACCCGGTTGCTTGCGAGACCCTAATGTCCCAGGGTAGGCCCGGCTGCTTCTCGGGTACGCACCGCGCAGCGCCGGTTACGACCGCGCAATCATTAAGTGTACAGTCCTCTTACACAACTCAGTACCTTATAGGTCACAATGCCTTATAGGTATTAAACTTTATTTGTATCTCTGCTACCTTCCGAGTACCGGTACAACACTCATTCTACGGTATCTCGCTCCTGTCCCTGTCGGTTACCACCCGCCGTACTAGTACGTACTACCCTACTGTTTTTTGATTTCGACGCCAAAGAAGCAATTATTAAATAAAAAAAACCTTTTTTACTTTTGGCAGACCCCACGTTACCTACTAAGATTATCGTTATCGACCATATTCACGTATGAATAATCATTGTATTTCAGCAGGCCGAATTTATATCCACATGTTTATTTGCCGAAATTTGAAACGCAGTACGGTACTTACTACTCAGTCTACCTTGGTACCTAGTTACCTAGTCACTTCCGCTGTGCACTCAGCACTGGGCAGTATGCCTACCGGTAGACTCAGCTGAGTCCTGACTCCTGAGCTGATATCAAGCATGTCCCGGTCCCTATCGTTGTGTTGGATAGGTACGTAGTGGAGACTGCTGACTAAGACCGGGACGATGACCGTTATTTCATAAGAACACAGATTTGCTCGAAGCTCGCACTGCTCAGTTCATTATTAGAAGGTACCGGTTTCCACGTGATTTACGTACGTCGATATATTCACATGCTTTTGCGGCTCATTATCCCTCATGTTCGTTCGACAAGGTACGGCCAGCTTGCATCATGGTTCACATTCCTGACTCCAAACGCTAGGCATCGCGGCTGGGGAACTGCATGAATAGGTACCGTTGGGTGGGAATGCGCACGTCATATAGGACTTATCTGAATCAATGCTATTGTCAGTAGCTAGCGAGATAGCTTCAGAGTCCATTGCCAGACCTGCCGAGCTGGTATCACCCGTTGGAATCACCCGAACAAGACTCGGAGGGGTCTGGGTAGTATCTACCTTTTTTTGTTTTTTTTTTTTTTTTGACACTCATATTCATATCTACCTAGACGACTAGGACCTAGCGAGGTGTTTCAACCTGCCTTCAACTCGGCCCTAGCTAATGGTTTCAGCTAGCTGCCCACAGCGAGCCCGCTCGACTGGCTCCAAGCCTCAAGGTATGAAGGTAACACAAAGCTAGTACCGTATCTTCAACCAAAACGCAGCCGACATTCACAATCTGGTCATTTGTCTCAGCTCAACATTTTGCTTGTTTGATCAATCTAATCTTAGAATCTTACGTTAACCCAGAACAGCTTCGACTATCAAGGCCCACGTTGCAATGGCTTCCAAGGTGGTGGCTGCAGTCTTCCTCGTGTGCTGCCTGCTGACTGAGGTGAGCTTGCGAATTCTCCAAGTGACCATCAAGAAGTATTTCTTGCTTCTGCTTGTGCTGCTTCCCTCAGCTTCCATCCTCTTGTGGTGGCATTGTGCGAGCTTGCACATTCTTGAAGAATTCTCTTCGTGAAATTCTCAGGCGGCTCTATCATGAATGAAGAGAGGCCAATTCTGCTGAGCTTTTGTGTTGGATTCTAACACCACAGGGTCTTGACAGTTATTCTTTCCCTGGCCTGGGTGAGCTCGCTCCAGGGGTTGACCTGTATAAGAGTGTTGGTCACTTCCTCAACATCTTCAGTTGGAACATTTGAGAGCTGCTTCCTACTTGGATTTTTTGTGGTGCTGATTGGTGACTTGAAGTTCTTGCTACGATTTTGAACCCAAGGATAGGTCAATCAGCGTCCATTGTAGGATTTCACTTCTGGGTTATGACCTGTCTCCCTCTCTTCATCTGAACATTTGCACTGCTTGAATTGAAAAGACCATATACAAGAACAACGCTGAGCAAAATGCTGCAAAATGCAAAATGCAAAATGTTTGCCACCTGTCACCAATGCAGCATTGTGGAAGTGAGTACCTACTTGATTTCTGTGCGCTCATCTTGATTCCTTCAGCAACTCCTCGTCACACGGCAACCACCTCGAATGCTCAAAAGACAGGACTGTGGATTGGAGAAGCAATGCCCATTCAATGGAAGAATGCTGCTTGGTTCAGAGGGCCCCATTGGTCATTGGCTGACCCTTGTGTAACTCTTTGCAGGTCGCTCACGCTCAGCCCAGCCTGCAGACGCTGACCTTCTGGAGGAGAGACAATGAAACCTACGGCCTGGCCCGCCATGTCCCAACCTGGTCCGCAGACAAGCTCCGCAACGGTGAGCCACAGCGGCCCGCCCCATCTCCGCCAGCTGGCAGCCATGTCTCAAGAAAGAGAGCACGGGGCTCCCAAGAAAGAGAGTGCAGGGCATTGTACAAGGCCTTCCCAAGCTGCAGAAAATGCTTGCATCTTTTTGCAGGGCGGTTAGGCAGAGCCGTAACTAGACATGGGACAACAAGCCAGAACAGTAGGTAAATCGTTTCTGCATCACACCGCAAGCGCTGATACTTCATCCTTTCTTGGTCAGGTGATGTCGACACTTTCAACGACGACCTGTATGATGCTGACATGAGCGACATGACCAGGGGTAACAAGATTGGCTACCAGGCCGGCACTTGCACCCTGACGTCCACCCCTGGGGATGGCTCCGACAGGGTGAGTCACCGGTGCACTGGAGGCTGTCCCTGAGAACATGAGGAAGTATGTCAGTTGCAGATTCTTCACCACTGACATTTGGCGCTAGGACTGGATGTGTGGCATCTCAAAAGACTGAGAGTGATGGGTCCCCTGTGATTCCTTTCGGCGACGGCCACTTTCACTTCTGTGGCTCAAGGAACACTGTGCTACATGTCCAGATTGTGGGCTGCATAGGGGCTACGTCTAGATTACATCTAGTCCCAAAGACTACATAAGTCTTGCTTCTTGAGCTTGCAGCATTCTTGTTTCTTGAGCTTGCAGCATCCTTTTGAATTGAAAAGATCAGGTCAGCCACTTCAATGAGACCATCACCTGTGATGAGCTGATGCGAGTTAACGACAATGAGTCGGTGCAATGCCAGAATGCATTGTTTTCGAGGATTTGAAGTACTAGCTTGAAGATGATATCCTGGCCACCACTTGTTCGACAATCACGCCGTGGCTGATTGCACAGAGGTTGCTCGAAGGGGAAGCTCAACGTGACGCTCAAGGTCCTTTACCAGGTCCCACATCGTTTCAGTCTTCCACGGAACCCGCCTACGCTAATCACTTCACTCCGGCTCAGCTTCTGCAGGCAAGCAGTTGCCCATTGCCAACATTGCGCCAGGACGAAAAATTTCCTCAATCCAATCTCCCAGCACGTTTTCTCGAATCAAGTTTCCTGCTGCTGATAGCCTCTTCTGCTGTGTGGCTCAGTACGTCTACATCTGCTACTCCATCTTCGCGTTTGACACCGGCCTGATTGGCCCCGTCACCACGCCCAACTCCATCGAGGTCGACATCATCACCTGCCAGCAGATCTCCACGTTCCGCGAGGGCGACAGCATCTCCCTAGAGACCCTCGTCATCACCGGGGGGGGCGGCAAGTACTTCGGGGCACAGGGTGAGGCCCGCCAGCCCACCTGCCATTGGTTGGCCCATTTGACACAAGCCCCTTCTGTAGATTCTGTACTTGCTCGTTGAAACTTTCAGAGCAAAGGGCAGCAGGACGAGTAAGGAAAAGGGCTGCAGGATAATTGGTGGCACGCACGATCAGGAGATCAGTGATTTGGAATGTCCGAGATGCAATTGGTGGCACGCACGATCAGGAGATCAGTGATTTGGAATGTCCGAGATGCTCGGACACTGCTCGCGAGTGATCTCAGACAAGTTCCGGCTCAATCGAACACTGTCGTTGGCGCTCCTGTCCAGAAAGTGCTCGGCTCATTCGACTGTGGAGCCAACTGCGCTCACCCGTGCTCTTGAATAAGGCTCGTCTGACGGAAAGTCGCCAGCCGCTATCTGGTCTGATGGGCACCTTGATATTCCAACAGAAATCTTTTCAGTTACTCAGAAATCCAAGCTGATGAGGCTGGTCGCCTGCAGGCGTTATGCACCACGATGAGATCGGCGGCGTCTTCGAGGCGTACTACTACCTGCCCTACAACGTCACCGCCATCCCCAGGGCCTTGGTCTCAACCCCGACCAACGCCACCGGTTAAAAACTAAGTTTGTTAAAGCGAGCGAAGACAATCAAGATCAGAGGTGCCCACCTGACGTTCTCTTAAGCACATTGATCTTACTCATAGCGGCCGTTCGCATAAGAATCTCCCTTCTAGCGTCTAGCGTACCGGTCCAACGGAGTCCCTCTGGTCGTACAATAACTCCAACTGACGATCGATGTGAGTCAAGGTATTGCTGTCGGACTTCGACTACCGTTGTTGTTTGGATTTTGCTGATCATCGGATGAACGGTGGAGGTATGTGTTAGAAG